TTTGTTTAACAGAGTCAATATTTTTAGGTATCACAGTGGTATCATAGTGGTATCATCGGAGGATGGTGGCCGGAGGCCGGAGAATGGTGGCCGGAGAGAGGAGAGTTTTAAAATACCAAAAATATCCTTGCATTAAGATTTTAATTTAAAATTACCAAATTTATAAATTTTCTAATTTATCTATTGATTTGTTTTCACAGTTACCACAAACAACTCAGTTCTTGTTTGAATAGGCTCCTATATATATATATATATATATATATAGAGAGAGAGAGAGAGAGAGAGAGGTTGGTTATTATACAACCCTTGACATTTGTGCAACCAATACAACCCAATCTCAATCGTCCATTTTATTTTATTAATATACGATTTCATAAAAGTTTTGATTATTTCCTAATATAAAGTATTGAACATAATTAATAAACCATATTCATCTTGCATAAATATTCAAATCATAATAAATGAACTCTCATCATTTCCATAAATATCTCAATTCATTGGGTTGCATTGGTTGTACAAATGCGATGAGTTGTATTTGAAACAATATATATATATATATATATATATATATATATATAAAAGCTTATCTATAATACACACATATATATAGAGAGAATAATTGCTAAATATATCTCTATTTTGTCCCTAGTCCATTAATAAGTTCAAAGTTTTGGACTTTTATCAATAATATTAATAAAAAAGACTCTTTTAGACTTTATTCAATATTCATGACAAGATTTCACCATTTTTTTTTCAATTTTATGTTAATCTATGCTTTTTGTCTTCTGTCTTTAAGTTCTTTTAAGTCTCAACAATTTAATTTGAAGTTAATTTTTTTACTTCTTAAAATATTTCTAATTTATGTAATTGAAACTCGGACATGTTGAAACTTTGTATGTTTTTTGGATCAAGGTCGTTGATTTTATAATAGTAAATTATGATTTTCGTTCCTATGGTTTGTTGAATATTGCCATTTTCATCCCTATGATTTTAAAATTATGATTTTCGTCCCTATGATTTATAAATTGTTCATTTTGATCTTTAAGACTATCAATTAAATACCTTTATGTCCCCTTTTTTGATGAACCCCATCGACAAGGCCACAACAATACTCCCCCTCCCCCTAACCCTACCCCTACCCCTACCCCTACCCCTACCCTCTTAATTTTACGTTTTTCAATTTTTTTAAAAACATAACGATTAAAAACACCAAGAGACTGTTTATCAAACACTTATCTGGTAAGTGTTTATCAAGTTATATTACTTTATTGATGAATATGGGAAGAACCAATAATCTTACCCGATAAGAACGAAGACAAGGAACTAGAGTCTTACCCGGTAAGTAAAAACGTCTCCTCTTACCATGGTTAGCGTTTACCAAGTAAATTATTGGTGGACTAAAATCTTACCATGTAAGTAAATGATAATATTGAATTTTGCCGATAAGTTCTTACCCGAGTAAGTGTTTGGTAAACGGCCCCTAAAAATTATGTATAAAAATATTTAAAATATTTATTAATAAAAAAATTGATAAACTACATTTTTTATTCTTTTTGTGTGGAAATAAATAAATATCTTTAATATAATTCGTTTTTTTATATCTACAATTTCAATTATCCTACGGTTTTGATTTATGTCATAAGATTAACAACGTTCAAGTTAAAACCATTAAATAACTCTAATATAAAAGTATTTTAATTTTTTCTATTTATTAAAGGGATGACAATTAATTAACTTTTTACGAGATATTTTTACCAAAAAAAATATATATATATATATATATATATATTTTATTTAATTAATAAAACGCACAATTATTTGGTTTTATAAGTCGTTCAGTAACTTATACCAAACAATAGGAAAACTAATTAAAATAGTCATTTTGGTCGTATGGTTTCACCTCTTAGGCAATTCTCTCCCGTAATTACACAAACGTCACTATTGTTAACACATCTACATTTAAGCTTGGATCATCAAAAGAGCGTATGTTATTGTTAACGTATATAAATTATGCATTCGATTTGTACTTTTTATATATGTTTTGGTAAACATTTTGTTTTTTTTAATATATAATATCATCTATATACTACAAATAAACTCACACATCCTCCTCACTTTTTGTGAGATTTGAACCCCGACTTCCAACGAAGTTGGGGCTCAACACGCCATGTGAGGTTTGAAGCCTGACCTCCGGGGAAGTTGGGCTCTACATGCTAGGTGAGGTTTGAATCCCCAACCTCCAGGAAGGTTGGGGCTCTACATGCCGCTAGGCCATAAACCCTTTGGTTCAATATAGCCCTTATCTCCTTCGGTGGAGACTGCAAATGATGGGAATCCTATCGATAAAGAAGAGGTATAAGCATCGCCTCTCGATCCAATCCGTCTTCCCTGGCCTCCCCAAAACACTCTTGATACGAAAGAGACCTCCCGCCATAGAGAAGAGATCTGAAGTTAGCTTCCAATCAGTATCATTTGTTACAAAGTTAAAGAATAAAGGCAGAGATAAATGGTTTCAATCAAGTCTGATCATCAAGAAACAAAACGACTCCTGAATCTTGTAGAAACTGAGCATGCAAATTCCATTAAAATGACACAAGTTCATCTCTAAGCATATAAAAACAGCAAAACCAATCTTGACTGCAAAAATGGATCTATAACACCTTCAAAATCCAAAATTTTGAACCCCAATTGAGTTTCAGCCAAACTAAATGCAGAATTGAGGTATAATCCAAGATTAAAACCCTGGATTTGGGTTTTGTGCAAACTTAATCAGAAAGCATCATGCTTTTCGTACAAATTTATCGAAAATCATCAAACAAAAACACGTAAGAATTTTGAACTTCATAGCAACCAAACTTTGATTCTAAAAGACCTGCAAAGACCTTCCGAATCCATGATCAAGATTCCTCAATACGGTTTCATGACTTTAATATGAAAGCAGTCTGCTTTTCCAACAAAGTTACTAGAATCATCAAGAAAACTCGACAGAATGAATCTTGAAGTTAACTGCAATCTACCAAACTAATATTTGATTGAATGGAATATTGAAGTGAACCCATAATCAAAAACTACATAAAACCAGAATTAACAGAACAAAAATGCAGAATTTGAAGCTATGAGATCAAATTCTCTATATGATATCATTAGCATGCTTGAACTCACCAAATCAAAATTCTTAAACCTTTGCCACTGACCTTCCTTTCTTCCTTTCCTTCTTCCCAGTATCTCCATTCTGTTTCTCCACCTTTTTCTTCTCTTTTTTACCGATCAAGATTGTGTTAAGATCATCCCCTTCAACTACATTCCCCTTCCCTTTCTTCTTTCCTGAATCACCGTCATCTTTTGCTCCCCTCTTCTCTTTATCACTCTTCTTTGCTACTCCCATCTTCTCTTTAGCACTCTTCTTCACCTGTTTCGCTCCCTTAAACTCTCCTTTTCTCTTCCTAGCCACCAATTCAGCACTACCCAAATCATCTTTTTCAATCTCTTTGCTCTCATTGTTGTCATCTCCATCACTGTCACTGCCTAGATCACCTTCATCTCCCTCAGAATGAACCTCATGAATCCTCCCACCACTCTTCTTTGCTGGTTTATCTGCCTTCAACTGTCCTTTCCTCTTCCTACTCACCAATTCAACACTGCCAGATTCATTGTTTTCGATCTCTCCCCCTTCATCTTCATCCATATCATGATTGACCTCATGAATCCTCCCCTTCTTTGATCCTTTCTTCTTTCCCACTTCCTCTATTTCCATGGCTTCTCCCTCCACTACCTCAACATTCTTTTCCTTAACTCCTTCAATTCTCAACTTAATATCAGGCAAAGATTGATATAAAGGCAATGCCACTGACTCTGAAAACTTCAAATGCAAAGACCTCACACCAGACAACTTCTTTGGAACAAACTCAAGAACCCCATTAATGGCAGAACCCACATTCTCAATAATTTCATCTCTTTCCATGGATGCCTTGGCGACACGAATCACACTACACGTCCCTGTCCTAAAAAACAACAACCCAGAAGAACAACCTCTCTCAATCTGCTCCTTCCAATTCTTATGACCCAAATCAACAGGCAAAGGCAACTTCTTTTTTTTAAAGAACTGTTTACCCAATAACTTAGGAAGAAGTGGGATTACCCTTTTGTCAGCAAAGAACATCTCGTAAGAATCACAAAGCTTTCTCTTCGCTTCAAAAGGCTTGTAGTCAGTTTTAAGCTTTGACAGCTTAAGGACTTTGGTGACTGAGATTCCGTCAGCTTTGATCTTCTTCTTCGCGATTTCTGATGTGAGCTTCGAATTGGGTCTATCGTCGATGATTAGACAGAGCTCCGGGAAGGACGTCGGAGAGATGAGAGGGTGCGGGAGGGGAACTTTGTGAGGGTTGGTTCGAGCTCCATTGATTCCACCTTTCTGTGGGATTTTTTTGAGTGTGAGGATCAAGTATATGAAATCATCTTCGGGTAATAGCTGGGGATTCTGCGAGTTCGATTGGGAGCTCTTCCATTTGATCAGAGCATCGACGGCTTGGGTGGCGGTGGAGATAGAAATAGCCATTGAAGAACGCCGGCGGAGAAGAGAAGGTTGGGAGGAGAGCGGCGAGGAGGAAGGAGGAGAAATAGAGAAGTTGGAAGGAGCTTGACCTAGGTCTAATTGTATGAAATTAAAATACCAAATTAGTCCCTCAACTATCACTATCATTTTAAATGGCCTCTTAAAATGGGTAAACTACAATTTGATCATGTGGTTTACACAAAACTATGAAAATCATTCCTAAACTTATGAATACAAAAAATATAGTTTTCACCTTTACAGTTTTAGCGATCCCCTCCAATCATATTCTCTGGCAAACCGAATTCCAAATTTGAAACCTACGTCAAAATGCAATCTAAATTCCAAAATCCAAATGTTTTCATCACGGTATCGGTCAAACCTTCCCTATCACTTATAGCATAAAAAAAGAACTCAACCACAAGGGTGGTGCCTGATTGGTTTGAGTTTGGCTCCAAAGGTCAAAAGTATCAGGAGGTCACAAGTTCAAATCCAAGGAGGATTAAAAATCCCCTTGTGGTCACGGAGGTTCAAATGCGGTGACTCTGGGCTATCTGCAAAGCAAGTGGTCATCCTGAAATTAGTCGGCTCACATAGCGGGTTGGATATCCAGGTTAATAGAAAAAACTCATGTTGTGTCAACCCTTGTAGATAAGAGTTGTCCACAAACCCGCAACTTTCGAGTTTGTAATCATCCTTCATGAAATGAGGAAGAGTCCGATCTGCAAAGCCATATAGAATTGCTTACCCTTAAGGCCTCAACATTCTTATAGTCCCACACAATCAGTCATTGTGATGTATTGATGAAACTTCCTTTTGTACCCTGTTGGGACCATTGCCTTGAGATTGTTGCTTTCTAATAAACTTTTCAGGGTACTACTTGCATAGTCACGAGCCTCATTTGACACCTGAACAAAACAATGTGCCAATAGACTTAACAATTTATGTAGCTCCAACTTTTACAATCATAGAACATAATCGGGTACCTGATTGACGCTATTCGAATGACTCCATCATGGTTCGACCAGGTTCTGCCTCTAATAGCTTATCTTGAGTAACCCTAATAAGTTCTTTCAGCCGAAGTTCGAACATCTTACTAACATTGTCGGAGGTGGGGGAGATTGGAAGGGGTGGGGATTCAATGTGAAATGAAGGGGATGCTTTTTTTTCAATATAATCCGAAAATTAAGTATAATATATATTTTTAATCAAAACTAAGAAAATGGATAAAAGGATAAAAATGTCCCTCGACTAATAACACATTGACTAATGGTATTTAGTAGTTGACCATTTTTAAGGCAACATACGAACTATAAATAACCATTTTGTACTTAGTGAAGACCAAAGGGACCAAAATTGTAAATAAACTACTATTTTGATCCCTTTCGTTTGAGAAAAGAACATTGTTTTGGTTTTTAAACTTCATCTGATATAAAAAGGTACGTTGTTTACACTTTCTCACGGTTTTGATCCAAAGAACAATGGCCATCGATTATCTACGTTAACTAGGCATGGGAATGGCCCCCGACCCGTCAGGGAATCCGGTCCACCCGCCCCGGTCGGGAACGGGGATTCCCTGCGAAATCGGGGATGAGGACGGGGACGGGTATGGTACTCGCCGCCCCTCCCCGTACCCGTTATATATATAAATTATATATATATATATATATATTATTTATTTCAATTAAAGTGGTAGTTCATAATTTCTTATTTTCTAATTAGGTTTATAATCTAAAATTGTTTTTTTTTTATGTTAATATGTAATATTTTGGATATCAAGTTAAAATACAATTACTCGATAAGTTTTGTATATTACTCGATATGGTTTTATATTACTCAACATCTTTTGATACATATGACTTCAAGTTTTTTTTTGGATTTAATTGATTTTTTTTTTAGGTTATTAGTTCTTAGATGTTGTGGCCTTTTTTTGTATCAAATTAAACTCATTTTGATTTTAGGTTTATTGAAAATGTTTGAGATTTAAACATGTATGGTCTCTCACATATTTAATTTAAAATAACTTATATAAACGGGGGGAAAAAATCTCCGTTTCCCCGTTAGGGATGCGATTATATTCCCTGGCGGGGATGGGGACGGGGATAGAGATAAGTAGTCGGGGACGGGGATTGAGGTCCCCGCTCCATTTTCTCATGCCTAACGTTAACTACAACATATTTCGGTCTTTTTTTTCTTTTTGTCACTTTCCTTCATTTTATTATTAATATTTTACTTAATAAAACCCTCATCGCTCCGATGACTCTTGATTGGGGCATCGCTAACCAATCTCTTTAACCATGAGGGTATTGATAACCGATCTTTGAATCAGATTGACTTAAAAAAATCATAACTAATGGTAACAGGTTTGGCTTTTAGTAACCAGCCTCAGACCTCTTGATCTCGAGCTTCACGCCTACCTGCCCAGTGCCCACCTCTAATGCTTTGAAACCTACATTGTTGTTTATGAGCAACCCACACCTCTAAAAAAACACAAAATCGTGGGTTCATACACACTAAAACACAAAACTCTTCGAACCACAAACTAAAACTTACCCCTCCAAAACCCTCAAACTCATGCACTTTTGCCAGAGATGAACAATTCAACACCGAATATCGCAGTCTCCTGACGAAAAAGCCATTTTACCGGTATTCGTACCAGCTAGTTGGAGTGATTCAGCCGGCAAAACTCCATTTTTACTGACTGGACGGAGATGCTCTAAAAAGCGATATAGACGTTGAATTTAAAGATTTACATTAAAATCAAATTATGTTCTTCGATTGAGAAAGCAAAGGAAGAAGCAAGAATGACGATCTTCAATATTGCATAGGCTAATAATGTTTTCTAAAAGACACAAAAAAATAGAAGTTGAATATTATATGACCAGTGATCGATCTTAATTCATTCAGCATCTTGTAAATGATAACATTTTACGCTTATTTTTAGAAGTTACTCAGAACTACGCTTATGAATCACAAAGATCTCCTTGAAGACATCGTTCAAATGTTGTGGGAACACAAAATAAAACTAAGGGGTTGTTTGTTTACCTCTTAATAGTTTCATTAAGAGACAACATCTGAATCATTAAGAGGTGAATCTTGTTTGGCAAAAAAAAAGTCTGTCTCTTAATGGTTCTAAAATCCTCTGAATGATTTTGTATCATAAGCCTCCCTTAACCATTAAGCGCACTGATTTCATTATAAACAATTACCAAACAATTATATTTCATTTTGCACTATATCATAAAAGCCTCTTAATCATTTTGCATCAAACCATTCAGCAACTGCCAAACAATCCCTAAGCTGGAAAAGGAACCGGTATATACAAACAACATATGCAATAAAGATCATAACTTGTCATGATACCATACAGCAATCAAGCTGAAAAACACTTTGACTTTTTGTAAAAAGGTCAACTTTGATCCCAAATGCAATATAAGATCACCATTAAAATGCTCTGTTTTTTTCTTTCTTTTGTACATTGGCCATGAGGGTATTAAGAAAAGGGTATGGTGGTCATTTTGGTTGGTTATCTACTTCAAATTTGAACCATTTCCAATTTGCATACATATTTTCTTCGTCGTTGAAGGGCAAGCCATCCGATTGAAGCTGTTCTAGCTTTCGAGTACCAGAAATCGGCGGTAACTTCTGCCTGTACTTCTTTGCCATTTCTGCAGCTTCCGAAAATACCCTCTGCCATAATAAAAATCACGCCGTCAATGCATAAAACGAAAAGGTTAGTTTGGTAATAGAAAAAGAATGAAATATATGAACTACCTCCCTGTTTGATAAGAACAAGCCAGGTTCACTTTCAAGCTCTGCAGTGCTGTTTGCCACAAGATCAAGATTTATTTAGAGATCAAACATTTAGCCAACCAAAACATGGAGGGGTTATTTCCGTCTTTTTACCTGAGAGAGATTTTATCGGGGAACATTGACTTCACGACCAAAACTTTGACCTTTTCATCGAGTGTTAGCACATCATTGATCGAAACAATTTTGCCTCGAGTGATGTTCGAGATGTGCAGCAATCCACTGAAAATTGTATAAGAATTCTTTAAACAATCAGCCGACGAGATTAACCCAATATATCCCACTCGAAAGCTGCGTAAAGGGATGTATGCAGCTATCTATCATCTACCTCAAATGGGCAGCTTCAAATGAGAACCGTAAATATTTTGAGAACTTGTGAACCAACTATTCACGAATTATTCATGATGAATCTCATGAACAATGAAAATGTTTGATATTCATGAATATTTTAGGGTTATTCGTCGTGAATAATTCATGAAATAGTTGGTTCTCATGTTCTCAAAATATTTATGGTCCCATTTGAACCCGCCCCTAATTAAAAAGCACATAGGATCCGAAACTTAAGAATGTGAACCTGACACACACAATCTCACCTTCTATTACTTTCGCCGATCCTTATTTGAGCACCATACGGGAATATTTTCCTCACTGTTCCTTCCAAAAGAGTTCCCTCCTTAAGGTGTATCGCGTTCTGTATTAATCGCAAGTTATAAATATTAAACAGAATAGTAAACTAAACAATATGAGATCGGAAAACCCGTGATACTTAAACGAATGACCAACCCAAGCTTCCTTTTCACTGAGAATTAAGTCATTTGTATCCTCGCTTATTCGAGTAATTTGAACATACAATCGACGCCCCACCTACGTTCATCGAGAATTGCCATGATCCAAATAATTATTGTAGAAAAAGAATAGGCGAAAGTGTAAATAGAGAGATTGATATGAGGTTTATCAACTTACGTTTTCTTTTAGCTCGGTGAAGTTATTAACACGATTCACGAGTTCAACCTTAGGAAGAAAAGCTCGTAATCCCTGCAAAAGCCAACACTTAGGCTAAAAAATGACTAAAAAAATGTCCGTCGTTGAGGGAGCCGAGATAGCTAAAGTCAAACCTCAATTCTTGTAAGAAGACCACCAGTATTCCACTCTGTAATTTTGACCTCTATAGGTTCATTCAGTTGCTTAATCTGCAACAAACGTAGAAAAGGTTGAAAACTAAACTAAACCAGTTTCGATTATGAAATGGAAACCAAAAGTCTTGATTTCTATGAAGATAGACTATAATTCTTACCCCTACCAAATGAAAACAGAGGCTACAAATCGAGTATGTGAAGAAGTAAGGCCTCGATAATAGCAAATTTCACGACATAAATGCACAAGCCCCTCAAGTTTGTATACAAAATCAATTGACTGTATGAATGACCATGTTGTTCACATGCGCCCCCGCCCCCTCCCCCT